ACCTGACATTCAAGAGAGCAAAACAGATAATAAACAAATTAAGAATAAACAAAATCATGTCTAGTGGCAATGAAAAAGCATAACATGGTGTTATGGGAAAGAGAGTCACAGGGAAGCCAGTTCAGGCAGGGTGTTAAGCCAGATTTCTCTTGTTAATATTTGAACTGAGACCTGAAGAAAGTGACCAAGGTACACTTGGAAGGGGAAGCATTCCAGGCAAGGGGAGTTGCAAAGTCAAGTCCTCTAGCCAAAACACACCAGGCGTGTTTGGGAAGTCGTAAGAAGGTCATTATGGCTGGGATAGAGTGTAGGAGAAAAGGAGTGACAAGAAATGATCAGTCAGGAGACAGGTCATGTAGATTCTTGAAGGACCTTAAGGACATAACAAAGTTAAAACCACAAACATACAAAAAAAAAAAAAAAAAAAAAAAGAAAAGAAAAAAAAAGAAACCCTTTCATTTACTGAGATAGGCACTATGCTAATCAAACATATATACTTTATTCAGTCTAATTCTCACAATCTTCCCATCCCATACCTGGGTATCATCATTATTCTTCCAGAGAACTGAAGCTTAGATAGGTTAATTATGATGATAAAGGCTGCAAAGCTACTAATTGTTGGAGTTGGGATTTGAACTCAGGGGTGTCTGACACCAAACGCCATTGTACTCAACACCATGCTGTTACTACAGAGAGATCTCTTGAATCAAAATTTACAGCCAGGTGCGGTGGCTCATGCCTGTAATCCCAGCACTTTGGGAGGCCGAGGCAGGCAGATCACAAGGTCAGGAGATCAAGACCATCCTGGCTAACACAGTGAAACCCCATCTCTACTAAAAATATAAAAGATTAGCTGGGCATGGCGACCTGCGCCTGTAGTCCCAGCTACTCAGGAAGTTGGGGCAGGAGAATGGCGTGAACCCGGGAGGCAGAGCTTGCAGTGAGCCAAGATCGTGCCACTGCACTCCAGCCTAGGTGACAGAGCGAGACTCCGTCTCAAGGCCAAAAAAAAAAAAAAAAAAAAAAAAAAATCACATGCACTTTGTTGGTGGAAATACCAGGAAGTTCAAGTACAGTGGATATGGCTCTAGGTCCTTCTAACTTTAATAGAATGGTAGTCTATTCTCCACTTTTTACTGCAATTAAACTTAACTTTGGTCTCATTTCCCATGCTGTTAACACAATGAGCATCTCGTTGAATGTTCAGTGTCTACAATAATATTGTAAAGCATTTATTTAAAGTATAAAATAATCAAGTTTTAGAACATCTGGCTAACCTGTGATCAGACTCTGCAGACAGTAAGTTCTGATACACAGCTGAGAAGACATTTTGATTTCAAAAATAGTTGATATTAGCTACTGAATTTGAAGTATGGATGCCCAAAATATCTGGTGCTTTCTACCTCTTCCTAATTTACATCATCTTTGCTGATTTGTGTGCCTGCTTTTCCAGATTTCTCTCACTAAGATGTATATACATATATGTATATCCAGTCAGGGAGGTCTATTCCATCCATGGTCATCCTTTCTCATCTCATTCTCGTACGCACGAACACTTTCTAGTCTTTCTCTGCCGGTTAAAATCAAGTTGCTCCTTTAATGGCCTGCCCTTCTCACTGGAGCATTTAATATACAGCCCTGGCTGTGGACAGGATTAACCTTCGCTATATATGTTTTGCTTCGCCAACTGACAATGGACAGCCTGACCTTGTCGTCTGTGTCTCTGAGGATGTGACTTTGCCCAGAGAGCCATGCTTGGGGCCTCACTTGGCACCATAGATGATGAGACTTTTGAGCTTCAGCTTAAAATCACTGCCAACATTTCTTCCTGGACTCCCAATCACCCTTGCATCTCATGCTGACCAGAATATTTACTTGAATGTTTCAGTTAGTTGAATAATTCCTAACTCATACGCAACTGATTTATCTGTCAGCTTTATTATAAGGTAGTGTAGTTTTCAAACCTATTTATAGGAGTTTCCTCAGAAAAGTCCAGGAATCTGCGTGACCTGAAGCACACATTTAATGGCACAAAAACCTAACTGATTTAAAAATAAAACCCACCTAGGACAAAAATAAACCAGGTAGGTTTTCCTTCCTCCAATGCCCTCTATCCTACAAACGGGTAAATTTTAGATCTAGTTCTTTGTAAGAAAGTTCTGCTTGCTGGGGCAACAAATTGTTGTAGAATAAGTGGAATAAGTTTGTTTTCAGTTAGGCCAGTGGGACAATACTAAGTTAAGCATACTCTTTCTAGAAACACTTCAGTGAAAGTTCTGTCCAAGTGTTTGTTTGTTCATTTGTTTTAACGAAAAACAGACTTTCCCAATGTTGTGTTTGCTGTGCAAACGGACCTAGCATCAGATGGCATGTAAATCAGGTATAAATTATAAAGGTTTTTATATTTGTTTTCAGGACAACAATGTTTAACATACTCAGCCTTCTCCAACAGTTTGTTGAAGTGCAGAAGCTGAAAAAATTCTGGGCTTGTAAAGAAACTGCAGTGCCTAAAACTCTCCAGAAGTACTCAGAATGACAGGGCTCTTAACCAATAATACGTGAGATTCAAGGAACACATTGTCGCTACTCAGCAAGTAATAAGAGGCAGGTATAAGTATGACATCATTGAAATACAGTCTCATTGGCGGTTCCTCTGTGTGCTGGTTACTGCTCTATTTGTGGAAGCAGCAGCCTTATTCAAATTAACCTTTTCACGCAGTGGGGCGGAGGGAGGTAGTGAGTAATATGCTGCAGTCTTTTCCCTGAAGGTGATGTGCTCTCAAATTCGCTTTACATTGCCTTTGAGCAGACAAAATAAAAATAAATTCAGCTGTGGCAGTGTTTCACAGGGATAGTGGCTGCTGGAATTAGATCAGGTCAGTGGAAAGGAATGAAAAAGAATCTGTGGCTGAGTTAAAACAAATTTCTGATTTTTATTCTTGCTTTTATTCTTTCCCCCTTATTATTTCTCTGTGTCTCATTCGTGGTCTCAACGGCTGCAGAGACTAAACTTGGTATCGCTCCAATCGGCCATTTGAGAGGGAAATTTCTTTGAATATTAATACCTCTAGCCCGTGCTGTCTGGGGGTCTAGCAGACAGGTCAGATTAATGGATGGTTTTCTGGCATTGTAGAAATACTCAGGAGTATGAAGCTGATGAGATAATTTAATCACATTTACTGTAGTCTGTGAGGAACTGTCATCCTGTATCCTGTTACTGTTATATAATATAGGGCCTCCAGCTACATCAATGATACACGAGAGAGCCCACTCAAGTTTTTAACTCTTAGTATTTTGTTTTAACTTATGAGGGCTCCAATGTAAGGTGGCTGTCCTTTAATGATCTATCTCTATCTTTCCCAGTTTAGTTTCTGGGACTTCACACAACTTTGCCTAAATAAAATGCTTTAGGTCTTTGGCCTTATTTTATTTTCTCTCTTTAAGCTTCTGTTTTACTGTCTGTTGTCATCTACGAAAATCACTCTATACAGAAGCCATGTAAAATTTTGAATCCTGCTGTAGCATATATTTGCCTTGGTCATTTCCTGTTTGGGGAATTTATTTACATTTTTTCCCTTCCCTTATTACCTATTACTTTCTACCTCAAAATTTCTCTACTTGTCAAAGACAAAATGATGGAAATGACAAAAGAATACAGAATGTTGACTATACACCTGTCACCTCTGCCATAATATGGAGTTGGGCCAAAATGGCTGTATTTCAGGTCAGAAATAAGTTACTGCCTGCGTGTAGCTAAGCTCTCTCTGCTCCAAACTCAAGATTCCTTGTTCCACTCTTGCATATCCTTAAAGAGGTGTTAACCTCTGAGAGCTTGGAGCTTCCCTTACTACTCCACTGAGAGTATTAATAACCATGTCACCACACATTAATGACAATGTCACCAAAACGACATGACATTCTCATTTAGTTACCATCCCGTTCCATCTTTCTGTACTTGTATGGCTTCTTTAACTTAAAATTCATTTTAACTGGCTGGACCCAAGGTAGTGAGTTGTCGCAATTGATTGTTCGCAGTCAGTTACAGATCGAACTCTTTGTTCTACCCTCTCCCCCTTCCTCACTACTGCACTTGACTAGTCTTAAAAAAAAAAAAAATTAGAAAAAATATATAAAAATTCCTTTATCTGGGTATTGTAGCTGTTGTTAGGTTCTAAAGAAAGCTATAAAGCTATAAATATTCGGAAAATAGTAGCTTAGATGAGGATGGTTCGTGTACTACGTTTTCATCACTACTATTCTTTAAAGTGAATAAATAATGCAAGAGAAGTTTGAATGCAGAGGAGCGCCAGGAAGCTTGTTGACCAGTGGGGAGCAGGTGTTGACTGGGAAGACTGGCAGAACAGAGGCAGGAAGGGTGAGGCTCTACTCCCCTAGTGCTGCATGACTGGCCCTGCCGCCACCCTGCCAGTTTTCAGCCAAGGATCACTGTGAGCTGTTCAGCTCTTTGCTGGATAGCTGCCAAAATCCCACCAACAAGGTGTCTATAGCGGCTTTTAGCACAGCTCTCTGTATGCTGCTGAAACCCACCAGTCTAGGCTTCCCAGGCTTCCATTTCTTGACTCTGCACAGTTCTCTGCCTAATCCTAGCCCTTCCTTTGAAATCAGACTGTCTCCTGCCCTACCTTGGCAAACCACTCCCCGCTCTGTTGAGAGGAGTGCAGAGGTTGCTGATTTGACCTGGAGCACCACACATTTTCAGCTCATTATGCCTGAATGCCGCATTGTTCCTGTGCTGAATGAAGTTTTGGAAAATGACTTTCAGATGTTACAGAGTCCCACTCTGCTGCTGTTTTACCCCTTTACCTCGCTTCTCTGCCGTTTATAATCCCATAAAACTCATCGTCTGTGTTTGGCTCTGGACAAAAATGAAAAGACTCATAAAATAACATCTTAGATGAGCTGGACTGATATAAACTTGAAATGCTTCAGCTTAAGACCACTACCAAATAATTTAATTATTTGCCTTTCACTAGACTTACCTCTTTAGTTTGTCTGTTTGCTTCTTTTGCGGTAACTCTCAAATCCATTGGTTATTTTAGTCAGTGCCCACAAATTACTGTGACCCTCTTTATCTGAACTCTGATCAGAAAGCCGCCTAGTTCTCCCCAGGTTTTTTTTTCTTCCCCCCTTCAAACCAGAAAAGTAGCTGCTGAAAGCAGAACAGTTGCCATGGCAACCCCTTGGCAGCTTCCTCAGCGAGTAACAGTGTTGATTTCCCTGGGCCGGGTGGGAGGGGGTGGAGCTCTAAGGAGGTAAAGGAAGGTTACTGTGCACTTAGTTAATATGCAAAACCACTTATGCAGTGCTGGATGAGCAGTGAATAAGTGCAAACAAAGCCATGCTTGATCAGCTAACATGGACTTTGCACACAAGTTGCTCTGTCCAAGGATGCAGATGTTGGCTCAGAAAGAAATAGTGCAGTTGGACACTAGAGGACACAAGAGGTCATACTACAAGAGGTTAAACACTATTTGTGTAATGGTTGGTGAATATGGAGGAAATAAACCAAAGCAGGGGTGTAATTGCCTTGCTCCTCTTTGCTTTGTTCGAAGAAAAACATAGCAATCTAAATCACAGGGATGGTGTTTTCCTGAAAATCTAACATACTGAAGTTCAAGTTTGCATCAATTAAACTCTATGTAAGATAAACCAATATGTTCAGATATAAGCAAGTATAGCATAATTTGGTTTGTGCTTGAACAAAACATACGGCTCAAGTAGCATCTTTCACCTCCGAGTTTTCAGACAAAGCAGCAGCTTAGTAACTTGGGGCTGGGGTTGGGGGTGGATAGTGGTGGATTCTCTCTCTCTCTCAACTTTGATAGATCCCTGTTTGTTTCTTGGGGTCTGGACAGGTTGGAAATCATTTCCCCGAGAGAGCACTGGGGAGACTCTGGCACACGATTCTGCCGACAGAGGTCACCTGCATGAGCAATGAGCAGACTGGCTGCAAGCTGTGCAAGCGGCAGCCAGCCCCTCACCTAGTGGCCTGCAGCTTTGCATGCTAAAGAAGAGGTAGGCTGATGGAAAGCCTGCAGCAGTGAGCCGAGGTCTGCCCAGCAGGTGTCACTAGGGATTTAAAGCTTACCAGACCTTTGGGACCAGGGCTAGAAAAGAGCCATGTAATGATTTATAAAGCTTACTTTAAAATATTTTTGAGAGGCTATATGTGAAATAATTCTGAGGCTTTCTCCTTCAAAGGGACATTAAAATGATAGCTACAGCTTGGTTTAAATGATTTCTGGACTATTTTCTCCAAGGCTCTACCTCCATTTACTGAGTCCGCATTCCAAAAACCAGACAGAGACATAAAACTCATGGAAGGCACACTGAATCCAACCACAATGGAAAAATACATGTGCAAAACCAAAGCAAGTGCATGAAATTATTATTATGGTGAAGATCTCTGCTTACAAAATCAGCCTCCACGTCCTAACACCACAGATGCTGATTTTGTAAGTAATCTCAGGATTAAGATCAGAGTTCACTTTAAAAATGCAAATTCCCCAGGAGTCCCTGTAAAATTGATGTCAGCTTGTATTTTATCAGTGATAACAATTTTTTAACAAACCCATATGAAGGCTATCGCTACTTTTTAAAAAAGACTGCTACTTTTTAAAAAAGACTGCTACTTTTTAAAAAAGACTGCTATCCCTACTTTTTAAAAAAGACTGCTATCCCTACTTTTTAAAAAAGAAGGCTATCCCTACTTTTTAAAAAAGACAGGTATTACCTGCCTTCTAATTTATGCACCAAGAATATGCATATGATAATTTTTTCTAGGAATTATGTTAGAGAAAATTTGTCTCTCCTGAATATGCTTTTTACTGTTTCCCTTTTCATCTTGTCTTCCTGGAAGCTCAATATTTTGAAATGTCATGAATTTCAGTAGCTTCCCTAGCTTAGATTTTCTCCATCCATTCTATGTTATTTGAATAGTGACATCCTACCTTGTTTTAATCATATTATAGTTTTAACACATTTGTACTTTTATCTGTACATTTCGTTGTATATATTACCTCACATCCATTTCAGTGTGGCACACCCTCTTAGAAAGAAGAAAAGAAAGGAGAGGGAGAAGAGAAAGACAGAGAGAAAAAAAAAAAAGGAAGAGGTAAAATGACCCTGTTATCAACATTCAGCATTTTATGATGAATTTGTTCATCATGTTTGTCTTCAGTTATCCTTTGGAAGATAGAAAGAGCGAGCTAAGAGTAGTGGTTGGGGAGAGGGGTAGTCCTAATTTTGTGTGTGCATGGGAGGATTTCTTGTGCCTAAGAAGACAACGTAAGTACTCTGGGCCTGTGAAATACTACAGGAAGAGGTAGGAGAGTAGAAGCTGGGAACAGAAGTATGAGCCTGGGAAAGAAGTGCATTGGCTTCAGGGCTTGGCTGAGAATTATTAGGAAAATGCTTATAGTTCTTTTACAGCATGTTACAAAGCATGATTAGGTGCACTTTTACCTTGCAATCTCAATAAAATGTTTGTCAAATAGATATAATCCTTCCCATTTCACAGATGAAAGAAACCGAGCCTCAGGGACGTAGTCATGTAATCGCCTGCCATTGTGTAACAGAACCAGGACTAGAAACCAGGCCCTCTGCTTGCATTTCTGCTAAGGATGGTAACTACAGATGGGGAAGAATGAACGAAAATCACAGGGAGTATAGGGAAATTATGCCAATAATCCTCTGTTTTCTATTATTTCTCCTGGGGACACCCCATCACGCAATACCAACAAGGATGCTCCCACAAATGAAAACGTCAGCCTGCAGTTATGCATCGTGGCAGGATTTTATCAAGAGCTTAATCGGCCATTATATTTCTTTCTGTTTTGTGAGAGAAAGAATAAATGACTTTAGTAGTACTGATGTCTACAGGCCCATTTTCTAACCGCAACTCTAGCCATTTCTCTAATCGCTTAACTAATATTGTTTTCACGCCACCTATTGTTATTATGCATTATTAATAAAAGACCACCATTACTATTAATATCACTTACGAAAGATTCTATAAAGAGCTTTGAGACTGCTGATGCAATTAACAAGAAGCCAAATTCTCCATGGTGTAAAAAAAAAAAAAAAAAAAAATCAGGTAGGGCTGGCTATATGCATTTGATCTTACTTAAGTGTTCTAAGGGGTTGTAAGTGAATTTCATGTGCCCAAAGAAAACCATGTGCCGTATGAAGATCAATGTATGCAGTTACTTGTCCTCCTCCATACAAGAAAAATCTGATGAATTAAAAGAAACTTTCACAAACCTCCAATCTCAAGGCCATGACAGTGGAAATTATTAGCTCACGGTTCAGGGATCTCATGCTTACCCAAAAGGCCCTACTTATAATGGGTGAAGAAAAAACACATTTACACTTTCAAATAGGATATGGGATGTTGCATAAGTGAGAATATTGTCGTAATTCTATACCATAGTGTAAATATACTACAATGTCCATAATTCTCATGGACTTCATAGTATATATGAAAGCTGAGAACATGCACAGAAACCCCTCTCGCATGTCCTCCTTTGATTGACATTCCCATTGAAAGGCTCTCCTCTCACCTCCAAGGCCACCATTGCCCATCAGGCTTAGAGCCATTGGATCTTCTGTCACTTTGTCAGGGAGCCATGAATTAGAAGGAAGTTGGGCACAGCCAGAAGGAACTGGGCCTCGGCTTCTGACTCTACTACTCCATAAGGGAAGACTGGACTGGGGTCCCACTGCCTTCAAGGTGAGGATGTGGTCCTGCACTGTAACAGAGGGATCACCTTAGCGGAGTGGGCCAATAGACTCACCATCCTGAAGAGTCCTGTGTTGCACAAAAATCATCACACTGTTTTCCATTTGTTCTCTGAGAAGAGGGCTTATTCCACAGTAGCTGAGGATCGCATTCTGAGTAACACTCTCACATCCCCCTTCAAGACTTTCTGTTTCTGAGTCTGTTTTAAGGAATTGACAACCCCTGATTTTTCACCTGGCATTCAGCCTTGCTCTAAGATTAAAAGGCCTGGGTCAGCTGAATGAACTGAGGGCATTAAGGGTGGGTCCACTCACTAAAAATCATAGATACACCTGGAAATTTTCAAGGGCACCAAGGAACTTACAAGATTTATACACACTTATGGATGATACTTTTGCCAAAAGCTTCAGTCTCAGTGAAGTAGTAAAAATCATGTCTTTTTTCTAGAAATGCATAGGGTTTACTTCTTTAAGAGTTCACAGTTTAATCTCACATTGGTCAGGTGAGTATCATTATCCTCATTTTAACAGAAGAAAAACTGAGACACCAGGGCTGAGAGTACTGAAAGTTATGGAGTAAGGAATGCAAAATTCTAAATATAGCCCCAATTACCCTGACTTCCAATGTAATGCTTGGTCTGCCGACTAATGCCTACTCTTTTATTAATTAGGAAAAGCTCAGAATACCTGTAAAGGAGTATCTGCATGGAATGTAGTATGTATCTTTAGTTTATACTGTTTAGATGAATTGATTTTTCTGTTTTATTAACATGAAACTCTTGGGTTATTCCATTGGACTTATTCACATTTTTATGTGTTTTACTATTTTCCAAATTATGGCTCAGCATGTATAGAAATGGGATTTTTGCAGAAATTTTGGATTATGCTAATAATGTCTTCCTAGTAGTTTTAGTAATCAAAGGAAAGCATCTTATTTGCATCAGAATATTCATGAAGTAACTGTTGAAAATATATAGCAAGTATTAAAACAATATAGTATGAATTTTTGGAAGACATTTTCAAACTGGCTTAGATGATTTGCTCAGAAAAGATTCTTCGGTGCAGTTTGCAGTCTACATTTCCTCTGGTTTCTCCAATTTGGTAGGTTGGAAACTAATGTGCATATTGTTTGTTTTTAAGGTAGAGAAATATTGTGAATTTTATGTCTTTTTTGGACACTTTTTAACTAACATTCTTGCTCAATCATTACAATATGTCATAAAGAATTGAGACACATTTGTGTTTTGCTACAATAAAATCTATCAACATATTGAAAATCAAAATATGAGCACAGAGAAAATAGAATACTTGGAGGTTAGAATCACAAAATACTTCATGAATCATATAGCCAGTATATAACCAGGGGGGAATCTGAGACTCAGAGAAGTTAAGTGTCTTGCCCTAAGTCACACAGCATTCATTAATAGAACTGAAACCATAATGGAGGTCCCCAACCTCTGATACCCATCCCTATTTCATTACCCTTTCTATTCAGTTTTGATTCTTTGGTTCATTTCTATTCCTTGGTTTGCTCTTTCTTCTTCCCTGAAGTTATTATTTCCATATTTCCTTTTCTGCACATGCTGTTGTGCAGTCACCCATATATCTGAATTTCCATCACACAGCCTCTCAGGAGAGGCGTCCTCATCACACTGAGACCATGCTGGTGTGAAAAGATCTTAACATCATCACCCTGTAGCCCTAGGGAACTTCAGACCATTAACAGGCTTCATCCTCTCAGTTCCCACCCCTGCAGGGTGAATCCACAGAAAACACTGAAAATAGTGTGTGATATTAACATAGAGGAAATACATAGATCCAATCGCTAAGATTCATAAACCATGTATGTGGCAAGGAAGAGGACTGGATTTAAAAGTCTTGGAACCAAGTCATCATCTTAATCACATACTACCTGCTTAAGTGTGCAGAATCTTAAGACTGAATTTTCTACTAAGCTGTGAGCTCTGAAGACGAATATTAAATTAGAATTTGGGAAGGAAAACATGCTTTCCTTCATAGAAAAGCACTTTTATTTTAACATTTAATTATGAAGCTGCTCCACAGAGGAGCCTGGAGCTCCTTGCCACTAGAAACTGAGTCATACTTGCTAGGGCTATCGTCAAATTGCAAGTCCCACTCCCACCATCCCCTAACCTCCTCCAGTAATTGACTGACCTTACTAAGGTTGACTGAGCTGAACTTTCAGATGATCCCTGGTGTTTGGGGGCTGAGCTGTGCTTCTGAAGGTGCTCCTGAGGAAAAGGATATTATTTGTGAATGCAGAAGGGAGCCCTCTCCGATAAGAATTTCCAAGGAAATCTCCCTTACAGAAGCTAGCAATGGTTAGTAGAAACAATTTTACATCTACCTGAAGAAAATGTCAACAAAGTTTCCATTTATTTCAAACTGTTGTGAGAGATATTGAATTACTGTGGAAGAAAAATGCCCACCCCACACTCACAGAGAAGATTGCAACAATCTTCCAAACTGGAGAATGCCTTGTAACCAAGCACATAGATCAAAATATGATTTATGTGAGCCACTGAATTTGTACATATTTTGACGCTATTCATTCTATAGCCTTATTCCATTACCTTGACAGAAGAAAATATTTATCTGTTTCTAAACTTAGATTCTAACTGATTTTTAAAATGTATTTATAGTTTTGATATAGTTAAAAGTAATTAATGTACCTTACAATAAAATATATACCCTAGTACTTACTTTATTCCTATTTCTCTAAGAACTGGTTTTCTTTGATTAATAACTATGCCATATCTAATTTTTTAAATACCTTGCATCCACACTTATCACACCAAAATACTTTAACATTCTTCAAGTCTTAATTCTTATCTCCTCAAGGTTTTGCGGGAAAGAGGGACAGGAATAACCTTTCACCTTTGTCTCTGATGACAGTCAGTACAAAACTACTTCATCATCCCAGCAGGGAGGTCCAATACATTCCCTGCAAGTGTAATTTCTACCAGAACAACTCATGAAGCGTGGTAAGAAATAGTGTGTGGGTGTCTTACGATAATATTTTTTTTAAAAAATAGAGAAGAGTTTTAAAAATTATTCTTTTTAAAATGAGATCTAAAGGGGGGAAGATGAAAAGAAAAATGTGCAGAAAAATAAAATACAACAAAGTATAGATATTATATACAAGACCATGAGAGATAGAAGTCTAGGAGAAGCATAAGAACCCATTGGTAATGGATTACAAATAGTTTTCACCCCACTGTAAAGTAGTTGTGGGAGAGAGTATCAGACATATCAAAAGTAGTGGCTGATTGTGGCTCCAGATAAGGTTAATATGTTCTTTTGGTTTTCCTCCTTTTTTCTCAGTTTTTATGGCACAGGCCTTGGCAAAAAAAAAAAAAAAAAAAATTGCGTGAGTGTGGTGTGGTTTCTACATACACTTCATCTGTTAGGGAAAAGGGTAGATAGGAGAGTTCACAAAACAGTCTTTGCTGTGATTTTCACAGGGTGGCTGAAAACCAAAGGTTCTCTCACTATTAGGTCTGACTCCATCCACAAGGGTACTTTCTACCACCAACTTGCAGAAAACCAGGGAATGTGACCAGAGATCATGTTTTGATCCCAAGATGTGTTTCCCCATTGTGTCTCTTTCATTAGCCTCCCTGACTACCCCCAAAGTTGAACAGTTTTCACCACCATGAGAAACAATCTGTGTATAGATGTGCACATTTCCAGTGTATATTTTTATATTGTTTAAGGGTAACTCAGGTAAGGTCACTTCCCGGACCACACCTTTAATCAGAAGTCTAAGGAACAGATTTAAGTTTAACCTGTTTCCAGTGGTTTCAGGGACTTCTGTATTTGGCGTAGCAGGGACAAAACTGGTCAAAAGAACATTAGACCATATCAGGTTGCAGTTATACTTTTGGAAACTTGGACATGTTTCTTAACTTCTCTGAGCAACTGTGTCCTAATCTGTAAAGGAGATACAAGACTGGCTTGCAGCATTGTTGTGAGGATTGGTAATTATTTATATGACAATAGAATTCAATAGATGATAGCAATTATTAATATGCTCACCAACCACTCAGGATAAATTTTAAAAGGAAGGTTTGTAAGCCCATTTGCAACCCTAAGGATATCCTACAGAGGCTGCTAACAAGAAACATAAATCTATTCCTTGCCCCATTGTCCAGACCAAAGATATTCAACACTTCTGGTTCTCTGTGCTTAAGATAACATTCTTGTGCATTCCTCCGCTCTTAGAGACTTCACCTTCTCTCATATATTTGCCCAAGACTTAGATCCTCTGTGCCTGTGAGAATAAGTCAAAGCTTTTTAACATGGAGCTTGAGGGTCCTTAAAATCTCAAATCAAACCAGTGTAGCAACACTTGACAATGTTCATTATGTACTCCATGCTCTTTCTCTATTGAGTCCACTATGGGACAACCTCCTGATGTGTTTTCCTGTACCACATGTTTTTTGTTCAGGCTAAACTCCCAAACTGACGTGTCTTTTACTATTGTTCATTGGTTACAGAACTGACGTTCCCATCACTGTGCTTAATGTGATGATTAAGTTCAACACTTTACTGTGCTGGATTAAGTTTAGCCCTTAATATATTCCTCAAAGAGCACTTATGACTAAAAAAAAGGCAACAAAATTTATTTCAAACCATTGTGAGAGATACTAAAATGTTGTGCAAAAAAAAAAAAAAAAAATTCTTACCCACCAAAAGTTAAACCACACTTTACCAATGTGCATGGTTAGTTTTGGGGGTTACATAACATTTCTTCCATTTAGGGTGGAAGTCATAGAAGTCAGAATGTAAAATACTTTACATTCAGGATAGAAGGCAAAGCGTCTAAACACAAGGATCAGAGCCAAATGCATTACCTTTAGACAGAGCTGTCTAGCATCAACTAAATTAAAGTGCACAGTGGGGTTTCCAATCTCCCATTATGGTTTAATATCCCAGTGCTATGATGGAAGAGACTCTGCTCCATGGGATTTTAAGGACAGATATGTCCAAGAGGAAAAGAATGAGTCTAGAACTGGTTTGGGCAGAGTAATATGACCCACTAGTACATGGATGTAGCCAAAGGATATGGGCTGTCTCCAGTTTCACTAGAGTTGATACTGCCAGAGCTTCCTGGGTAACTATAAGAAAAGATGTATTACCTCTTCCTGGCAAAAGTAGCCAAAGTCGTCTCCCCACCGTGGAAAGAGGTGGGGTGCCTTCTTATTGAATAAGAGGAGCCAGAGAATCAACATTCCTTAACAGTTCCTTAATTAATGTTCTTAATAGTGGCACTAATTATATAACTGTATACTGAAATGAGATCCTCTCTCTGTTTTGGCTGAGGCCTGAAAATAATAGATGCTACATTTCAAAGTGAGATTTGAAAATATCCCATGGCAGAAAATTAATTTTGCAGCTTCTGAGATAATAGCCCTCCTTTAAAAAGTTAGGAAGAGGTGAGAAAAGGGTGGGTGGAGATTGAGGAGGATTTTTGGAGACAGCTATCAGAGTGCAATGTGGTCCTCATCCTCTGTCTCAAGTTAAAAGAGAGTGTTTTTAAGGAACAACCACAAGGATTTAATATGCGTCCTTGCCTGTTTGGAGGGCACTGTGGACTGGAGCCTTGATTCTTGCTTGGAAAACCTAAAATGTAAAACCTGGGCTGACAGATTCCCTTATGGAAGAAGGAAAGAGAGTTGTTGCTGAATTGGGATCAGTATGTAGACCAAAAATTTAGATGTAGATAAGGAGAGGGGCATGTCGGCGATAAATGTATGAGTTTCCACTGGGCCAGATATGGCCTAATAAGTGAAAAAACTATTGTTTCTGGTCATCTTAGATCCTGATCCAGAAAGCTACCTGAAGTAGGAATAGACCTCACCAGAGATAAACTGGCAGCTGTCACTAGATTCCTAGGGCTGAGGGAGCAGGAAATAATCAACCCAAATAGAAATAGAAATCATCAGAAATTGGTCGGGGCAAGGGAGGGGATGCTGGGAAAGTTGGGAAGCCAGAGGTCGATGGAGGTCTCAAAGAACTTGTGAGAGCACCTGTAAGAGAACACATCCAGATTAAACACACATCAGGACCAGAGAACAGCACCACCCAACCCACACTAGTACCAGGCATGTAAGGTGTAGCTTGCCCCAATCTATCTCTCCTACTACCCTTCAGCTCTGACCATGAAGGGAAAAGAAAATTTCACTAATAGGAGCATGTGGAAGGGTAGATGTGCTTGGCAGGGAGGAAAAAGCCATCTACTCTCCATCCTTTGGGCTCAGGCTTCCAACCTGAAATGTGTCTGAGCACCTATGGGAGATGCCTCAACTGGACAGCAAGACTGACCTTGTGACATCATCCCATGAGACAAGACATTCTAATTACTAAATTGAGAGAGAGAGTTTTGTGCCCTAAGAACAAATTTTAAAAGTCGCAGTTCCTGCCTAAATTTTCATCCAGGGAAAGGGAAAGGGATAGCCCTAAAGAGTTCATTGTAAGGGGCTCCGGGAAATAATCTATAATTGCTTTATGATTATTGCTCCTGAGCCATGTTTATTTCCATATAATACTAAGTTATTTTCACATGCTTCTCTGCCCACTCTGGTATCCCTGATGGCAGCTCTCTCTTATTCATTTTTGTATTCTCAGTATCTAGTCTAGCAACTGGCACATGGCATTAAACACTTACTGAATAACACAGAAGGGAATACCATGACTACCAGGGAAAACAAAAAGAGATTTACAAGAGTCTGAATGAGGGAGGAGCCACATCCTGTTGGGCAGGTCAAGAATACTTCACAAATGTGGTCAAACGTGATATGGACCATATGCATTCCACCAGGTACCTATTTAGACCAACAAACTCAAGAAAAATGTAGTGGCAGAAGAGAAAGTGCAGAGATGAGGTGATCCAGTAGCCTCCCAAAATGAAAGCAATAACTACAGTGTGGATGGTAATGTGAAGAAATGTATAATATAATCATTTGATAGTGAAAGAGAATAGGGAGCAAGAGGAGAACAAGAATGAGATTGAATGAGATTTGAAAGGCCAAGGCCATCAGGCTATTGGCAGATCCCAAGACAGAAACAGATGAACCTGATTCAAGGAGAGTAGACCGAGAAACATACCAGAGGCCCATCAAGGGCACTGCCATGGACATCTTCCAGAGGATCCTGCCAAATCAGCAGACAGCAGTGGGTACCTGAAGCTTATAGAGTTACTTTATTTTTCAGACATGAAAGAACTTTGCTTCTCCAATCATCTTTTGCAAGCAAAAGATAATCAGCTAACTCTGAAAGCAGGAGTTAAAGGTAAAACCATAAGAACAAAAGACTAGGTTCAAGTATGAAGAGAACTGGAAGAGAATTAAAATGGAATAGCCTGATAGATGGGTTTGGCTGAGTCAAACCAACTGGGTTAAACAAGATGAAGATTTGCCTGTCCTGTATCCTGTATAGAAAAACACAAGTCATTTGTAGGAAGGCTTATTAGGAAGACAACTTACTTTTTATAAGCTGAAATCAGGTTAAGGTAAATACTGAGGTATCTTCAAACCACAGAATAAACTTATAAAATAAGAAGAAATGTGCAAAATTTAGATGTGGTAAATTATAAAACTTTACTAAATAAATAAGGCTTCATTACTGGAAGATGTTATGGTATGTATTTCAATTCCTGTTCAAAATAATGTGCATAATTTATCCAAGCCCCCAAAGTGAATGGAATTATTACAAATTTGATCATATTACAATTTATATGACTTTGGGAGGCCAAGGTAGAAGGATTGCTTGAAGCCAGGAGTTGAAGATCAGCTTGTACAACATAGTGAGAACCCATCTCTACAAAAAAAATAGAAATTAGCCAGGTATATCATTCTCAGCAAGCTAACACAGGAACAAAAAACCAAGCACCACATATTCTCACTCGTAAGTGGGAGTTGAACAATGAGAACACATGGACACAGGCAGGGGACCATCACACACTGGGGCCTGTTGAAGAGTAGGGGACAAGGGGAGGGAGAGTATTAGGACAAATACTTAATTCATGAAGGGCTTAAAACCTAGATGACAGGTTAATGGGTGCAGCAAACCACCATGGCACATGTCTATCTATGTAACAAACCTGCATGTTCTGTACATATATCCCAGAACTTAAAGTAAAGTAAAAATAAGAAATAAATAAAAGTAATAGAGCAAATGAAGAAAGAAAGAAAGAAAGAAGGAAAGAAAGAAAGAAAGAAAGAAAGAAAGAAAGAAAGAAAGAAAGAAAGAAGAAAGAGAGAAAGAGAGAAAGAAAGAAGAAAGAAAGAAAGAAAAAAAGAAAGAAAGAAAGAAAGAAAGAAAGAAAGAAAGAAAGAAAGAAAGAGAAAAGAAAAGAAAGAGAAAGCAAGAAAGACAGACAGACATAATGGTGTGGACCTATAGTCTGATTGCAGGCAACAGAGTGAGACCCTGTGTCTAGAAAGAAAAAAGGTTATATACAAACAAAAATACCCAAAAAGAGGCAGGAAAGTATTGATAAAGAAGTAGTAACAAGGAATCTGTCCAATTACATTTTAAATATACTTTAAGATACAATAATTAAACCGCACTGTATTTATGCAAGAAAAATTCTGGAGACTAAAGCAAGCAAGGTGAAAATTCAACACATATATTAACTCTACATAAGAATTTAATGATCACTTGGACTCGGGAAGGGGAACATCACACACCGGGGCCTATCATGGGGAGGGGGGAGGGGGGAGGGATTGCATTGGGAGTTATACCTGATGTAAATGACGAGTTGATGGGTGCAGCACACCAACATGGCACAAGTATACATATGTAACAAACCTGCACGTTATGCACATGTACCCTACAACTTAAAGTATAATAATAATAAATAAATTTTAAAAAAAATTTTAAAAAATTTTAAAAAAAAAGAATTTAATAATTTATGCAAGTTGCATTTTTAAAAGCAAGCTTCTATCTCTAGGAAAAATTCGATTATTCAACATGTAATTTGAAAGCAACTAGTTAGACTATAACAGAATATAGAATTATTCTGTTAAAAGTCAGGTCACATGACTTCTTTGCTTAAAAGCCCCCAATGGTTCCCTGTATCTCTCAGAGTAAAGGATTCATAGTGACGTTGCAAAGCCTAAATAACGTGACACGTATTTCCTCCCTGACTTCATTTTGTCCTGCTCTGCTCCGCCAATCACTCCACCTCACACACACTGGCCTCGTTACTGGTCTGCAAACAACACACAAAAGTTCACATTACAAGGCTTTCATATTTGTGGTTAGCTTTGCTTTGAACAATTTCCCCCAAAATCTGCACATGGCTCTCTCCGTATCTCCTTCAGATCTTTGCTCAAATGTCACCTTCTCAGTGCCTTGCTTTACTAAAAGTAAGGAAATACTAAGAAAGAAAATACAGCTGAGTCTGTAATCTTGGGGTGTAAACAGGCTCCTTAATCAAGACTCACAAATCACTGATTAACAAATTTTACCACATAAAAATTAAAAACATCCAAATATGACAAATGGAATTTAAAAAATTGATGAAGTGGAAGAAGTATATTGGCAACATGTGCCAAGGTATGATTTATTTCCTATGAAAAACTATGACATGTAAGAGAAATAACAATGTAACAATGGGTAAAGGAATGGCAAAGAAAATGCTTACACATGCATAAAGACAGATCGCCAACATGCATGAAAAATATTCAACTTCAATTAAGAAAAAAAGAGAAGTGAAAAACAAAGTAATGAGCCACCAAACTAGCAAACACAAAAAGAATGGTAATATACAACACTGGCATGAGTGAGAAGAGAGAGACTTCTTTCTTTTTCCCCACACAGTCACTAGATTCATAAATAAGTACAATTTTGGTCAAGAGTAAGTTGGCAATATGAGTAAAAATATTTAAAATATGCTTACCTTTTGACCCAGGAATTTCACTTCTGAAAATTGGTCATAAGGAAATAATTAGGAACAGGTGGAAAGATTTAACTACAAAATATAATAAAATGGTAATGTGCGATCTTAGAGGTAATAAGTAATGTAAGAAGAAGCACTGCAATATTTTTCTCTTGTTGATGAGGATAGAGAAAGGAGACTTATGAGCTGATTATATGTAAATAAGCCTTAGGTCTTTTTTTTTTAAGTGCCATCTGGAAGTGGCAGCTGTATTGCATCTTCACTAAGGCTAGGAGAGGAAGTAGTGGGCTTAAGCTTCCACATAGGGATTTAGGTTAAATATAAGAAAAGTATTTCCTTACAAGAAGATTTGTAAACATTGGTATTGGGTGAAGAAGGAGGTGGTATAATCACATTCCCTGGAGGACTTTCCTGCAGAATAGATTTTTATCAAATTAAGATGATTTTCGGTGCATGCCTCAAGAAGCAGAGTTTGGTGTCTTAAGTTCATGTGCCAGTCTTCTATTTTTAATTACACTATGATGTTTGATCACTGCATTTGTGCATTGTGTGGCATGGGTTCATATTAGAGTAACTGTCCCTTCATCTCATTAAAATAATACTTAGAATTATTCTTTATTACCCAAATGAAATAGATTTCTCAGTAAGAATCAGGGTGGAAGACTGCCTTCAACCCACCAGCTGCCATGCATTACATAATCCTTGTACTATTTGAACTCCTTTGGGTGATCTTGGCTTTTCCCAGAAAGCTGTGAGTCTGAAACCAATTTATCAACCCTCTAAAAAGTCAAAAATATTCCAAGTGCACTTCTCAATTACAGTAGAAACAAGCTTTCTAGTTTGCATAACTCATTCGGGTTTATTATGATTATTAATTTTATTATGATATTTTTACTGACTATTGCAGACTAAGATTACAGCAAATATTAAGCACAAATCTATTAGAGTATAACAGAATTGCACACAACCATTGCAAAGTTCTAATAGAGAGAGAAAACTTCACAAATATGGAAAAAAGATTTGTACGTGCTCAAAAAAAAAAAGCTGGATGTAAAGACTATTACAGGAATAGATTAACATTAAGTCAATTCTAATCATTTTTCAAGGCAGCACAGATACACTTACCAAAGGAAAAAATGAGCCTAAGGAGAAAAGAATATAAATTGCTTATATGGAAATTAGAAGGGATATTACTGTATTATTTACAGCATAAAGAATCACATTTTCATATTCAATAAACTTCAAATATCCTCATTTTTCAAACAAACAAAATCTGGCATTGTTTCTCTAGTTACATCATAACTATATGTCACAAAATAAAGAATTCTGTAATGACTTCTTAGCGATTATTTCTATGTTTAGATTTTTCCGAGCAGTAAAAGGAAAAACTAAAATGAGCGCTATTTGAAAGGATGCTAGTAGAGCACACCCCTACCAAAAGGAAAAGAAGACAGCATTTGTGGTTTCCACAGCCCATTTGACCCAGTTCGCTTAATTTATTTTAAAGCAATGTAGTTTCTCCTTAGGTCCTTGCCTTTACAGCTAGTCTATTCTTTTTAAGCTTTTACTTTTATTACTTGGACACAACCTGGTTTATCTCATTCAGAATACCAGGTACCTAGCATACCAAGGTCTTTTCTGTCTACAAATCAGACCCCTCCTTGGCTTCAGGAAAATGATATTTCTTGAGTTTCCTAAACTCCAACCTGAAAATATTCTTTAGATCTCTCACTCTCCCTTCCAGATGTATAGCCTACTTCTAAATATTTAAGATTTTACTTTTCAAAATTTCCTTTATTTTTCCCTCCCTAGTGGATGAAGAATTTATTCTTGTTTCTTTCAGCGCTTTGTTCTCATATTCTATAAATGTTCTATGGCATTCTGCCTAGTCCCCTCCTAGGTATGTGTTACCATCTGACACTGATCCTTCTTTCCATAGCTTCAAACCTAATGTCTGAAATCTTATCTCAGGCCCTCTTGTGTAGACATATTCTCTTCTCAAATACTTTAATATGACAACTATCATACAACTTGTAACATTTAAGTTTGACTCAGTAACAATGTGGGTTCTCAATCTATACAATTATTTTTAAGCTTTGCTACACCAACCTCCCAGATACTTTAACTTTCCTCTTCAATGACAATCCAAGAAAGTGACTATCACGGGAATTTCCAAGAAAGGAACATCAGGGAAGTCTTAACTTTATTTTACATGTATGTCTAGCCTTTACACATATAAATACTTACTAAATTGACTATTAATCTTGAAATCAACTGTTAAATTGGTAGAAGTATAAGTCCCAGACTAGAGAGCAATTTATATGACAAGAGTAATTATAAGTAGCACATTAGAAGTTAAAGAAAAAAAAGTTCCAGTTTTCTTTACAATCCTGATTTTTATTTATGATGGCAATATGTACAGCAAAAAATAAATAAATAAATAATAAGCTATTTTGTCAGACTCCCTTGCAGCTAGAGCTGGTCAAGAAATACAATTCTTGCCAATAGATTGCAAATACAAGTCACCGAAGGAGTTTTCAAAAGTTTTTTTATAAAGAGCTGACTCCACTGGCATGAGCTCTTTGTCCATTGCCCTTCACCCTTCTTGCTAGCTGGAGTCTGGTCTCCATACCCATGGGGCAAAGAGCCATCCTGAAATCATGAGGAAGACAACAAACATTTGAGGGGAAAGAGAAGCCTGGATCTCTGATGACATTGTGTATACTATACTTGGCTTGCCTACCCTCACACTTTTGTTATGTGAGAGAAAAACCGATCCCTTTTTATGCCACTGTATTTAGTGTTTCCTGTGGCTAATAGTCCAATATATCTTTAACGGATAGATATAGTTGGCAAAAGCTGGATATGAAATT